TTCTAATTAAGACCCTAAAGGCAGCAATCTCATAACTAAGAGGGTCATGCAAGGCTCAGAGTTTAAAGAGTGAATTATGTGAAGGTTTTCGATAAATTTTCACGTTAATAGCACTGCCCTTGTCAAGTGAGTTGTGTTCTTATTTTTTTTTAATTTTATCTTATGTTTATATAAAAATTTATCTAGAGGAATAGTTTACTTCTTTTTTATTAGTTACTAGCTGCAAGGATCTGAAATTAAAATAATAATTATATAGTCAAGTCTACTTAATAGTGCACTGGATAAGGAAGCAGTTTGCTTAAGAGAACACACTCCCATATTCTGGATTTTCTACCCAATGTTTTATATTAGTGGGACTCCCATCAACAGAATATGGGTTAGTAGAGCAGGCCATGTAAATGAGTATCATGTCAGCAGCATTTTTAGAGCAGCAGTCTGAAAAAGGGAGCAATATTCTAAGGAAGGTTTGTAAAAGTATCTTTGAAAACTACCACGCAAAACTNAATTCGAACAAATTCGAACAAAACATTCGAAATAGAAAGCCACTTTCAACCACTTTCAGCCTCATATCTCCCGCACCCTTCTAGCTATCGAGACGCAACCACCCCTATGCACGAATGGAGACTTGGGGCTACCACCACATACAAACACCATTCATGTGCGATGTGTAGTTTTTGCGGAAAAGTGAAATATAGGGACACACACGTCCATTTTTATATATATAGATTAGAAGAAATCCAATTACTAAAAGACATTATATAATTTGCAGTATGGAAATGACCAAGATATTTACAACAAAAGATCCTGGTCTTGAATGTTATAATAGTGTATATGTAAATGAGGATTACCCAAAAATAACTGGAATTGCAACAAAGTACTCATATGTTTTGTAGTTACAGATCATGCCACTCAGAGTTTCCTGCATCATTCTGCTGTGTGGAGTGGTTTGTCTTTGATGCTACTTTGTGCATATTCTTACTTGCAGCATCTAGCAATTATTTCAATGTGTGACCACAAGGAACAAAGAGTGTGCACGAAATTTTATTTTTGTTGGGAAAACTACAGCTGAGATCATTGTTATGCTTTGGCAAGCTTTAAGGATGATGCTTTGAGAAAATTACAGGTTTTATGAGTGGTTTCCCCAGTTCAGAAATAGTGTTCTGTCAACTAAAGATCTGTCATGAACTAGTCATTCTTTGTCAAACGGGAATGAGGGAAACATTGAAAAAGTTCAACAGGCCATTAATAAAGATTATTGACCAAATTTCTGAAGAAACAAATTTGTCTTGGAGTACCTGCCAGCAAATTTTATCAGAAGATTTTGAGAATGAGATGAGTGTCTATAAAATTTGTGCTCTGCATGCTCATACAGGAGCAGAAAGAAGGACAAATGTATGAATGTTATTCTTGACTTGAAGCAGGAACTCCAAACTTCCAAACAAAGATTGTGACTTAGTGATGAATCTTGGTGCTGTGGATATGACCCATAAACAAAACAAGCATTAAGCCAGTGGAGACATTCAAATTTACTATGACTCAAAAAAGTATGTAAAAATCGATAAGAAAACATGATGACAATGTTTATTTGATTCTTTGATGTAAATGGGATTGTGCACAAGGAATTTGTTCCTCTAGAAAAAACAGTGAACCAATATTTTTACCACCTCTAAAAACCATTTAATGCAGTAATATTTCTTTATTCTAACATTTTCAATCATCATAAATGATCATCTTCAGGATATATAACATTCCAAAAGAACAAATGCCTAACAGTTTTTCTAGAATATTTTTAGCTTGATGTTTTGAAAAGCCTGTGTAAAAGTGGGTGACAGAAATGGCCAAAATTGTGTAGAACTGTGACAACACACTGGCCCACACAGCTCTCTATCTTTCTGGCAGTTCTTGGCAAAGAACAGCATGATGCTTTTGTTACACCCATCCTACTCAATGGATTTCATTCCTTGCAATTTTTTTATTCCTATGAATAAAGAAAATTGTCAAAAGGAAGTGATTCAGTGATGTGGATGAGGTGAAAGAAAATACATTGAAGTGTAAGCGGTACAATGTGAAAAGAAAAATACACACACACATGTTAATCAATTAAAATAAATTTAATTTTGCAATAGAGATAAATACAGCAGACCCCCTTATAACGTGGAGATACGTTCCTCATTATACAAATTTCGCGTTGTAGGAATCCTTAAATATGTGAGCCAATCGCAGCCTGACACGTGTGAAGTTTACGGATTACGGCTGTTTGAAAGGCTTTCTTCCATAAAATTAATCGATTCTAGACTAATTTGACTCAACATTTCCAAAATACGTATAATTTTTTGGGAATAATCCATATAAACTATGCTATAAACAAAAAATTGTAGTATTACTTACCGAGTGTGCACCGTTCGACGTCGCCATTGCTTAAGCTTGTTTTCGTCGTGGACCAGCGCACCAAACTGCGGCTGCGATTTCTGATGTTATTTTTCTGGGAAAACTTTGTTGAACTTTGGAGACATCATTAATATAAATAATTTTTATGGCCATTGAATAACAAATGTTTCTTTCACAAGAAATGTATAAAATTACAGTACTGTATTAGACTTACGGTGCCTAATTTACATACTGTACAGACGATAGTAAACAACTTACTCGCCCAAACTCTCCGTAGCATGGCGATAGATGGCGGAAAGTATACAGGTAGCCCTCGGTTTACGCTGGTTCAATTTACGTCGATTCACAATAACGCCGCTGCGCAATTCACCATTTCGAGGTGTAATTCTTCGATTTTCCTTATGCTAGACAGATTTTTATTTCAGTGTTGACGTATTTATCGAGCCGCGACATTGTATTGATATATTCGTTAAAACAAAGATTTTTATTGAATATATTTATGTTTTCTGTTTAATACTATTGGGTATGTATACATTTGCATTAAATTAATAGTAAAATACTAAATGTTTAGGTACCCACGAGTCAACATATTAAACTTAATAGTCCAATAAATGGCGTCTGAATCCATAGCGCGAATGAATGTATCCCGTATCATTTCGTTCAGGAAAACACCTTACGACGCAATAGCACTTCCGGCGATCACAAATTATTGTTAGTGAGACAAATCTACTTCTCGTTGGCCAGACGATATTTATCTCTTCTTAGCCACTTTGAATTTTTCCGCTCAAACTGACCTTATATATGCACTATGGCAACCAGTGGTCGACCAATCAGTGTCTTTGCTTGTCTGTAGCTCTACGTTGGGTTAACGTATCCTTTCAACTAAGGAAAGTTTGACGGATGAAGTTTGTGAGTTAGACAATGTTGGGAGCGAAGTGCAAATGTAAAAAGGAGCATCATATTCGACCATATTCCGAAATTCTTAATGAAAGAAATCAAAAATGTAAACAATTAAAGGTTACCTTTTCTGAAAAATGTAAGAAGTTCGAAACTAAAATTTTTAAATAAAAACATTTTACTTTATTTTATGATAAAATACATTTTAAAAATTAAAAATTTATATGTATTTTGTATTATATTGTATTAATAAACAAAATTATTAGCTTATTTTTCNGAAGTGTTTCTTTCACAAGAAATGTATAAAATTAGTGCTGTATTAGACTTACGGTACCTAATTTACATACTGTGCAGACGATAATAAACTCAACTTACTAGCCTAAAATCTCCGTAGCGTGTTGCCAGGCGGCAGAAAGCATATATATAATTATAATAAAGTTACAATAAATTAAGTTAATATATAATTATATATACAGTACCTAATTTATATATAATTATATGTACAGTACCTAATTTATATATAATACTGTACAGACGATAGTAAACTCAATTTACCCGCCTAAACTCTCCGTAACATGGCACTGGACGGCAGAAAGTAGTTTGGCTGCTCGTCCGCGATGACGAGTTGGCGATGACATTTTACCGCGTTTTACGCGTCCTTTTAGCGTCTTTATACGAATATTGTTGCAATTTTTTGCCGCATTATAGGAATCTACGTTATAGGAACTCGCGTTATAGGGGGGTCTACTGTATTACAAGTTCTTTATGGATTTCTGCTGTTATTTTACACACTTCCAATTATCCTCGGTGTTCGTATCGTAACAGTAATCCGTGTAGTTAAGTCTCATTACAACTACTGCCTGACAATAATACTTAGCTAACGCGTGCGAATCTTAATCGAACTTAAATCAATAGAAAGAGTATAGAAAGAAAGGGAAGTAAGAAGGGTTATAGGACAGATGGGTACCCAATTTATTGGCGAAGATTCTACGCAGTTCCTTGTGTCGACTTCCAATGCTCGTATGTTTTCCTCTTTTAAAATGACTTTTTCTTAGGGTTCGCTTCCAGATCTATTGATTGGATTCTGTTCTTGATCTACTCCTGCAGCACTCGCTGATTTCCAACTCATGAGCCTTGCTGCCACACGTCCGTCTCATTTCTTGTCTGGCCCAAGAATGTCTACTGGAATGTCTCGCTTTTTACTTCCAGCTTCGTCGCCCTCTATTGTTTCTCCCCTACCTCCTGGTGGGCTAAGGGTAAGTCTCATTTCTCGGAAGTTTGAGACAAAGGAACAAAGAAAATTGGAAGGAAGGATAAATTTATAGAAATAGAATATAAATTAAACTTAAAACTATACAGAATAAAAAGGTGTACAGCCATTGAACAGTATTTTAAATCAAGAGTTCCAGAACTGCAATAGTTCCTGTTTCCAGCAATAGGTAGAATATTGAGAAAAGTGCATTGACACTTTTCTCAATATTCTGATGGAAAATACTTTGAAGGGGACTAAATACAACTGCTTAAAAAACAGTTCTGGTTATTTTTGGGTATCTCTACATATGTATGCTATGAACATTTGAAAGATTCATTTTTGAATTGCCTTTGGTTTTTATACTTGTTTTAATGTCACAATGTATCTTAATAATTTAGAAGTTGTCTTAAATTAATAATTTAATAAAAACATTGATTTAAGTTTAGCGTTTTTTTTGTTACAGACCATTTTATGAAGTACATACTAGAGCTACAGATGAATTATTTTACAAAAGAGCAGTAGATTTTCATCAAATTAATGATACTAGTTTTGTTTTCTCGGTTCCATTTGATGCAGGTAGGATTCTATTAACAAATTAATTATAATATATACTTGAAAAGTTATTTTTAATTTTTATTAATAAGATGAATTACTAGGATTAAACTGCTATTTTCAGGTAATTAAACTGTTGTATTAATTAATTAATGGATTCTAGTTCTTTAAATATTATTTTATTAATATTAGTCTATTATAAGTATAATCTACTAATAGAACTTTTTATACTGTGGATGAAATTAAGAGATTGAATCAGTCTGTTGGTTCAAAAGAATAAACTTTTATTTGCACCTGAAGTTTATTCTCTTGAACCAAGAGACTGATTCAATCTAATTTCATCTGCAATTTAAATTAGTATAATAAGCCCTATTAACCAAAGGGTTAATAGATTATAGTCACAACAGATTAATATTAATATTGTATATTTATATAGATGTGCTTTTGGCCACTTATATAACCATCTTCAGCTAAGACTACAAACAAATGATATAAAATGTAGATTTGAATTTCATGGTTAGCTGATGACTGTTAAGTGGTCAAAAGTCTATTTTCAGGTACAGTGACCAAAATATTATTTATTACTTCTTATAATCCAAAATAAGTAATATTTTGGTTATTGTACCTGAAAATAACCATTTAATACTGGTAATTTATAATATTGTGACTAGCTTCAAGCATTTTCATTAATGAGAGATACTTTGATGTATATCATAAAAATAATAAAGTAATAATAATAATAGACAACTAAATAAAAAAACACTTTATGATTTTGTTTATTGTTATAAATTTTATTTCATTTAACATTAAAATTAAAATATTAAAAGAAATCAAACTTGGAAGGTTACTACAGAATAAATAAAACAAAAAAGTATTTGTTTCATATGCTCTATTTTAATAAAATAAACATATAGGAAGGAAAGATCTGTTTATATCAGTTAGTTTAGACCTTAAGTCAATTAAGCAAATTTAAGATTTAAAATATCTCTTGATATCTGTACTAAATAATATTACTGTATTTTGACAAGTATAACTCGAAGTATAAGACGCACCCCTGTTTTGAGACAAAAAATTTAGAAAAAAACTGTTTTAATGGGATTATCTAAAGATGCATTTTATTCATTTTTTTATTTAAAAATATGATGGATGGATGAATCGATACCTTTATTAAACTGAAATAATTGTCATTTCTTAATATAAACTCAGAGGTCACATGATGACAATCGACAGAACATGGCGGCGATGACTCGTGTGTTGCTACTCTGATAATCTAGATACTCTAGCCATTCGGTTGAGGGACCATCTGCTTAACGGACCACTGCACAGGTTGGTTCCTAGAGTGGACCACTACTGTAGGTAATTTCATTGTAAAAATGGTTACTTGTCGAGTATAAGATGTACCATGATTTTGAGCCCCAAAAAGTAGTAAAAAAAAGTGCAACTTATACTCGTCAAAATACGGTAATTAGACTTAGGAGCTGACTCCATTAATGATGTCACACTTCATGGGAGAGGAAAGTAGTCAGAATGTGACACATCCTGAACTTTGGAAGGGAGGCAAATTATACTTGTGATGTCATGTTTCACATATACCATTAATAAGTATCATACATGGTTTTTTAACACAATATGCTTTTAATAAAACATTCTTTAAAATTTAGTTTTTGTACTTAAATTTATATAAGAAGAGTAAAAGGTAGCAAAAAGTAAACATTTATCATACAGTTAGTTAACTATGGCTAGTAAGATAAACTGTTACAAACCACAGTAAAGTGATTTGTATAATTTCTGTGAAAAGAATAGTGTAGAATTTACATCTTCATTATTTAGTTGTTACAAATAACTCATCAGTTCATGTTTTTTACAAATTTGAAATCAAACAAATGTTAAATTAAGTAATGTTATGAAATTATTATGTTGTTGCTATGAAGTCATAGGTTGTCTTTGTTTCTAAGATATGTTGAGTTAAACAAGTTAATTTTGTATTCAAACACTGTGGTATCTTGTGTTTCAAACAACTCTAACCTTGAGCATTCCAGAGTTTAAATGCTAAATTTGAGAGAAATTTGACCTAGAATTCAAACAATGCTTGTGCATTTGAACTGCATGCACAGTGAAAAAATGCACTTGCCTCATAAATGCCATCTGTTGTGTGACTAAGTTGTCTCTTACATTTACTATGAAAACATTTCTTGCATTACACTTGTGGTGCTATATGTTATAATTTATTTGTGCTAACATTAATTTTTCTTTCCCTTTATTTATTTTTTTTTTTTGTTCTTTCTACTATCTTGCTGTCTTTCTTCTTTGCCAAGGGGGTCTTTTTCAATTCTGGGATAGAGTCCTCTTTTGTCCAAATAAGAACCAGTCCAACTGGTTTTGTTATTCACCTAAAAAGGAGAGAAAGAACATTGATGAGACAATTTTTGGACGGGAGCTGGAAAAAGAGAAAATGTGGGTCCCATGAGTAGCAGGAAGATTATAATTGTATGACCAAGATGAAACTAACACCTATATGCAATTTCCAGCAAATAATTGTAAGGTTCTAATATTTTTATTCTCATCAGAAAATAAAATGAAAAACAAAAACAAATAGAACTATCATTTGATGGAGAATACAGTTACATTTAAAATAAAAATTCCAATTATTTAAAACAATATTTGATATGTGTCATGATGCACAGTTTAAAGCATAAAAATAAATGAAAGACTTTGAATGATTTAGATCTTTACATGGCCTGATATTAAATAATAAAATTAAACACATGAAATTTTGTGTGAATCTATAAAATATTTCCACAGTATTGTAATGCCATCAAAGTTAACACAACATTCTTTCTTCTCAGCCATATAGATTTCTAAAGCCTCCCTATTGGTCAAAGACCCTATCTAAAAGTGAGCTTCATCCCAGCAGGGAAAAACCTTAGATTCAGTGTCAAAATGGGCAAGTGCCATGTTGAAATTTCCTTGGCTACATCATATTTGTGGTTGCATATTCTGGCTTGCAGGATCTATATGTACAGTACATCTTATGTATGACAAATGTGTGTTAAACCATCTATCTTGTAATGGGATAAGGTATACACCAAGTGCTTTAGTGTTATTCACGCTATCCTTTGTGTTAGATAAGAGGCAAAAACATTGTGTTTTCTCTTATACGCTAACATCAAATTTAAATCCATAGCAATCTTACAGTAAAGTTGATGCAGGGATGGTTCATAACCTAAAACTACCCGATTAAAGTCCGCCTTGTTGCATGAGTTCTGGTAGTAGCTAAATTAGATTGATGTATGGAAGCCAGGGTATTGATTAAAGAATGACTGTACCTATGGGTGGAAACCATATGCTTAAATGCGTTCAATTTCTCTCTTGGTGTCCAAACGATGTGTGTATGCTCTTGTAACAAGGGCATGGAATGAGGCTAACTTAAAATGCCAAGAGTCTGAAGACTTATCAGGTATAAAGAGGGGAATGTATATAGGTTTGAGATAAATCATAGTTCTTATGCTTCTATTTACCACATGAATCGTTGGCCAAACATTACAGAAAAGCCATTCTATCCCTAACTAAGGCAAGAGAGAAGCTGAAGTTTTTGATTAACTGCTGCACAATGGAATGTTTTCTATAAGCATTTTTCAAATAAAGCTATCATATGGTTGTGATGCACTTCTGCCAAAAATACATTTTCTTTGCCTTAGAATGGCCGTATGTAATACCAGATAGCCGATGTACCACAGATTGAATCATCTCGTCACTCTGGAAGAGAAATTGTATCAACATGTTAATATAATCCTGAAACAGGTGAAGTCTAGAGTCATTGATCTGGAAGAGAGGGTCAGATGTAATCTGCAATGTAAATACAATAAAAAAATCAGTTGGATATTCAAAGCACAGAAACGGCAGCCCAAACCTAAATTCAACAATGTTATAGTATGTTGGGAATCATTACTCTTCCAGAGTATTTCTGCAAGACTTTCAAATTTGAATCAATATTTGTTCCTGAATTTGCTGCATCTAATCCATTTTCATTCATACCATGCTTGGAAAAGTTTCTATCAAAAGGGAATAGTAAGTGCCCAGAAACTTGCAAAGACTATCTGTGATGGAAGGCACTATATGCTCTTGAAAATCACAAACCTGACCCTGAAGTTCATATGCTTTGAAACTACATCAAGCACAGGCTCAGGTCCAACAACATCATATTAGTTAAAACGAATAAGAGCAAGGCAGTTATGATCATGCAAAGAGCCACCTACGTCAATGTTTTTCATATCTAAGAACTTTATATATAGGAAAATTTTGAGAAAGATTGTAAAATACATATATTTTATAAGAGCTAGAGTTAGAATATTACATATTTAAAAATATTGCAAATTTATTTATAATTGTCAAGTTCATCTAGTTCAACTGGCAGAATAAAGGATGGGTTTTTAATGAAAACTAACAATTTAAATATGTTCCTTAAAATTTGTAAGTTTCAGTCTTTGATGATTTGATTATATTTGTTAAGTACACAGAAAAAAAAACAAATAAGTATTTTTAGTTTTCATGAAATAGCTCATTCATCAAAAGCAAAGAACAATAGATTAATAATTGCTCTTGAATATAAAATGTTAATTTTTTTTTTTTTTTTAGGAGCACGTAACAATAGCTTAGTAACTGCCAGTCATGCAATATTTATAGGAAAAGGATCCAGAAAAGCACCTGTTGCAGTTGTTGGTCTGCACTTCCGACATTCAGCTTTTGCAGAAAGATTCTTCAATATCACTTCTCAAGTAAAGTTATCTTTAAGAAAATATTTACTGTTATAATAATTTAATCTTATTTTGTACATTTAGATCAGTTAATTTTTTGTTGATAATTTTTACGTATGTTTCTATATGTTACTTTAAAAATCCAATGTTTTAATAAAAGTTATGAATTATTTTTATTATAAATAAACTATTGTAATATATATCATAGTAATTATTTTTCTTACATATTATAAATATAAATAGACAGTAGAGAAAGGTAGGATCCCTCTGAACAGCATACATATGGCTACAGTACCCTCTATGTTTGATCTTGGCATGCAAGGCCGTAGTCCCCCGAAGGGTCTACAAGAAAACCTGTGTGTAGTGAACATCAATAATTGAGTGCCGCCATGAATAGCTAAGTGTAGAAGTTAGTGCCAAGTGGCTGTTAGTAGGAAGACTTATAACTACTTAATGCTTATGAAACTGAACGTGATCACGAATCTTAATACTACTTAACAGCTAGATGATATGAACAGACAGACAGAGACAAATGAGCAAGATCCCAGATTTGTTATTTTTTTCTTTCTTTCTTTATTTATTTTTTTTAAATGTTAACTTACTCACTAACTAAACTAACCTACCATAACCTAGGATGAACCTAACCAGAAACCAAGCTAAGAGTTTCTAATCAAACTTACAGCTAGGACTAACCAAATTTACTCTGAAAAAGAAGACAGAAAATAAGAATTAAAATACAAAGTTGAAAAGCAGCTATATACCAACAAGGAAAGAGCTACTTCCTTACATTTGTAGATGACTTTTCTAGATTTACTATGGTATATCTAATTGAAAGCAAAGATGAAGTTCTTACAAAACTGAAAGAATTTGTAGCTTCTACTACAAATAAATTTAGAAGAAAAATCAACACACTAAGATCAGATAACGGTGGTGAATACTGTAATAAAAATGTTGAAGAATATTTAACAAAACAAGGAATCACTCATCAAACTACAATACCTTATTCTCCTGCACAAAATGGTGTTGCAGAAAGAAAGAACAGATCTCTCATAGAAATGGCACGAGCTATGATAATAAATGCAAATCTTGAAAAATCCTTTTGGGGAGAAGCAGTAATAACTGCAAATTATTTGCAGAACAGATTACCTACTAAAATAATAAATAAAACACCATATGAGTTGTGGAACAAAAGAAAGCCCAACCTAAACCATCTTAAAGTTTTTGGATGTAAAGCATATGCCTACATAAATAAGCATAAAAGAAGAAAATTAGATGAAAAAGCCATTGAAGGTATATTTGTAGGGTATGATATGAGAAGTAAGGGATACAGGATTTACACAGGTGATAGAAATGTAATAATAAGCAGATCAGTAAAATTCCTAGAAATGAATACAGGAAAAGAAAATAAAGGAAAACATAAACTATGGAATACTAAAGATGCCTTCCAATTTTTCCATGTTAATGAAAGTTTTCCAGAAGAGCAAGACTCAGAAGAAGAAACAGAGTCTGTAGAAATGCAAACAGAAGAAGAAACAGAATCAGAAATTCCACTAAGAAGGTCTGAAAGATCAACCAAAGGTATACCTCCAGAAAAACTGACATTCAAAGCTGAAGTTAAAATTCCACATAGAGATCCAAAGTCATTTGAAGATATATTGGAATTACCAAAGGAAGAAAAGCTAAAATGGGAAAAAGCAATGAGTGAAGAAATTAATTCCCTAAAAGAAAAGGAAACTTGGAAATTAGTTGATTTACCACAAGATAAAAGAGCAATAGGATGTAAGTGGGTTTTCAAGACAAAGTATGATGAAAATGGAAGAGAAACAAAATGCAAAGCAAGATTAGTAGCAAAAGGCTATGATCAAAGATTTGGAACTGACTTTGATGAAACATTTGCACCAGTTGTTAAACATACAACTATTAGAGCAGTTTTAGCTGCAGCTGCATATAAAGGAATGAAAGTACATCATGTTGATGTTAAAACTGCATTTTTAAATGGAAAATTAAATGAGGATGTTTACATGACACAACCTATAGGATTTGAAGAAAAAGGAAAAGTATGCAAGCTACAAAAAGCTATTTATGGTCTTAAACAAGCTGCCAAAGCATGGAATGAGGCAATAGCAACAACTCTAATTAATCAAGGTTTTAAACAAAGCAAAGCTGACATCTGTTTGTTTACCAAGGGTAAAGGGAAAAATATTGTATATTGTGTGCTATATGTGGATGATATTTTGATTAGTGCAGAAAGTGAAATAAGCATTAGTAAAATAGTAAAAATTCTTAAAGAAAACTATGATATTACAAATCTAGGAGAAGTAAAGTTTTACTTGGGAATAGAAGTAAAAAGAAAGAAAGATGGAAGTTTTTTGTTAAGTCAACAAAATAAAATAGAAGAGCTTGTACAGAAGTTTAATTTGCAAGATGCAAAGCCAGTTTCTACTCCAATGGAAACAGACTATTACAAACTACAAGGAGAAGAAGACCTGCTTCAAAATAACACAAAATATAGGCAGGCAGTGGGGGCTCTCTTATATATTTCAACTGTTACAAGACCAGATATAGCAGCTTCAACACACATTCTTAGCAGAAGATGTGAAAATCCAAGACAGCGAGATTGGAATGCTGTTAAGAGAATTATATGCTATCTTAAATCAACAAAATATCTGCAACTACAAATTTCATCAACTGAAAAACCTGAGCTAAAGGTCTACTGTGATGCTGATTGGGCTCAAGACAGACACGACAGAAAATCAACATCAGGAAACGTGATATACCTTGGAGAAAATTGCATATCATGGAAATCAAGGAAACAAAACTGTGTAGCTCTATCCTCAACAGAAGCTGAATATGTTTCTTTAGCAAGTTCTACGCAAGAACTACTATGGGTTTTACGTCTGACAGAAGAACTTGAGCTAAAACAAAATCTGCCAGTCAAAATTATAGAAGATAATCAAGCAACAATAAAACTTTCACAAAGTGAAAAACACAATTCAAGACTAAAACACATAGACACAAAGTATTATCACATCAGAGATCTACAAAGAAAGAACATAATTGAAGTTGTGTATTGTCCAATGCAAGAAATGGTTGCTGACATTTTTACAAAGCCTCTGCCAAGACCTCGATTTGAAACTCATAGATGTGCTTTAAATATGCATTCATCGTGTTCGGAGTTAGTGGGGAATGTTAGACGTCCGTGTTTATTAATAACTCCTCAACGATAGTGCTCGCGAGAAGAGTGCGAGATCTCGTCCCGTTTTTTAAAGATTGATATCCCCGTTTTTTTTAGTTAGTTTCGTTTTCGTTTTTTCTTACTTGTTGTGTGCAGTAAACTGCTTTGTGATTTATGTCCTTAATAATAACTTTAATAAAGTATTGAAGACATTGCTTGCTGGTATGTATAATTTGTCATCCTATCCTGCGCTGTGAACTGACGAATTATCATTGGCTTATCGTTAAAAGTTAAATGATAAAAGACGTTAACCCTAACATTATCCTCCTGGAAGTTTGATAAAAATTGAAGAGATTAATCCTATATTTGCAGACATTAATAGAAATCATTATATTTATAGAATTCGGATGTGGATAACTGATCAGGATGATAATTTAATTGATCTTAATAAACAGAGAGTTGTTTTTCATTTAATTTTAGACTAAATAAATGAATTATAATAAACATAGACTGTTAGTTCGAAGTAAAAAATATTATGGAGGAAATATATTTATCGATGTAATTAAAACGGCTGATAAGAAATTATTAAAACAGACCAAATTTATGGTTGAGGATAAGATTGTTAAAAATAAACTTATATCTAAAAAATCTTTGAGTGTGGAAAATAGAGTAAGGAATATTATAAGTAAGCGAAGTTTATATGGAACAGGATTCAAGAAATTTTTATACTAATAAATGGAAAAGATTTGGGATTTATCTCTTCCTAATTATTACAAGAATGAAATCGAAAGTTTTGAGTACAAACGGCATAGAGAAGATAAAGTTACTGTCGATGAAAAGGAATCAGCGAAATATGAATTTTACATTAAAGATGTAAATGATATGATTTTATATTCCAGTGGATATATCTGCCCAGAATTAAAAATTATGAAACAGGATGGTTCTTCGATTGGAAGTGATAACGTAACTTTGGTAAATACTGGAAATTTATTCTTGAGATCTGAATTACACATTGGTAAAACACTAATTGAAGAAATTGAATTACCCTCATTAGTTCATCACATTAGCGGTCTTATAAACTTTACAAAACATTATTCTACTTCCAAAGCAACCAATATGCTGTTTTTCATTGACACCTCATAATCTCCAGATAAGTAAATTTTAATATTTAATGGACCCTATGATCAATCTCTTGGAACTGGAGAAAAAATGGAGACCTTTTTAAAAGGATTAAAGAAAAATGCAAATTATAACAAAGGATTTACGGAAAGATGGATATTAACCAAAAACAGTAACAAGATCAAACTGTGGATACCAATTAAACAGATGTTTGGATTTTTCAACGACTTTAGGAAAATAATATCAAACATTGATGTTAGATTTGTGTTCTGGAGAAATTCGAATAATGATATGATCCATACTAACGTTGACAATCCGAATTATAAAGTTATAGTATCTGATATTTCACTTTGGTTACCACATATTAAGCTATATCCAGAACCACAAGTTAATTTTAATAGTGTATCTCTAAATCCCTCATCAGATATAGAAATTAACTGGTGTTCTGTCAGATTAATTAAAAGTAACGTTCAAAATGGTTCTAGCGGTACAATAATTGTAAGTACAACTACAGATGAAATCAGAAATAATTTTGTAATCCCACAATATCAAGAAAAGGAAAACGATCAGAATCAAAATAATATGATATTCGATAACTTAGATATGATGAGATGGTTAAGAATTAATAATGATAAATATTCAACAGAAGATTATAATGTTAGCTTTAAACCTGAAGAATTAGATTATTCAAGATATTATTCTGATTTCTTAGCGGCAGGATTAAATACCAATAGCACAGAGTCTGGTTGTTTAGTAAGTTATACAAACTATGGAAGACTGTATCCAATAATTCATTTCGATGTTTCTAATCACCCCTCTTATAATAATGTTGATAATTTGAAAGATGAATTCTTTTGGCAATTGAGAGAAACACCTACTAAACCGTATAGATTTTATTTCGTTTTAGTTGAAAAAAGAAAAGGATTTATGAATATGTACAACAGGACTTTTGAAACCATTAAAACTTTAAAGTAATTAAATGGCTTGGTTTCCTTTTGGTCATTATTATGATGAAGTAAAAGAAGGTCCTCCTGGTCCTCTGGGTAATGGTTTCAAATTAATGTATGATGGAAATTATCATATGAAAAATAAGATCTTAAAATATTGTGGACATCCAATAGATGAAAACGATGCTGCAACTAATGAATATATTGATAATAAATTAAAAATAATCAATGAATTAAATAATGATTTTCAAGCTTTCGCTGAGGAAAATGATGATAAATTAAAAATATTAGAAGCAGATAAAACTAATTTAGAAAAAAATATTAATGAATTAAATTTAAGCGTTAATAATTTCTTAATAGAAACGGGTAAAAAACTTCATACATTAGATAGTAGATGTCTACAAATGCATAATGGTGCTTTCAATGCAAAAAATAAAAGAATTGGTAATGTTGATGATCCAACGGAAGACAAAAATGTTGTGAATAAAAGATATTTTCAGAATAATGCTTTAACCATAAATGATGAGGATGTGTTTGATGTAAAAAATAAAAAAATAATAAATGTATTGCAACCTACATCTAACTTTGAGGTTGCCACTAAATTTTATGTAGATAATCATACCTTTATTCTTAGTCAAGTTGATACAAAAGACAATAATATGCTTTCAAGAACTGAAAATGGATTATATGGTCCTCCTGCTCTTTTATTGAAAAATGATTTTTATGATTCTGATAATAAAAGAATAACTAATTTAAAAAATCCAATTAATGACACAGATACAGTTACAAAATCATATCTCAAAAATTATTTTAAAATTTACTATTCATTCATCTTAAGAGGTTTTCGACATTTACCTAGACCAACAGAAGATGTAGAATTTTATTTAACCTTAGGCAATTTTCCTATTGATGATAGTGATATAAAAAATATCATAAAAAATTATGAAAGAGAATATGTGTTAGAATCTAATGGTTTCATTAGTAAGATTTATTTTACATGTAATATAGTAATATCTTATTTATCTCTCGGTATATTTATCAATGAAAAATTAGCATTTTCTTTTAAAAAAGAGAGAGAAGAAACTTATATAGTCATAAATGAAACAATTCCATTCAATATAAGAGATATAATTACAGTTAAAACTATAGGAAAATATCCTTCCTATGATGAGAATTTCTTAGATAAAATTTTAAAATATACTATTACAATATTTATAAATTATATTGATTAATTTTTTTTCCTATATAAATGGACACATTGAAAAAACTAAACAATATTGGTAAACTTCAAAATATTCCAACAAAGAAACTAAACGAGTTGGAAATTGATTATGAATATCCTATTGATTATTTTAAAACAGTATCAACATGCTTTGGTGATAAAAAATTAGTAGTTCTTAAGGATGAAGAATTGAATGAATTTCAAGTTTTTCTTCCTGATAAATTTAATAAAAACTTAAAGGACGAAAATTTAGATGATATGAAAGATTTAAAATTTGTATTCAAGGGTATGAAAAATTGTGGGAAAATATATAAAGCTCATATTATTGAGTTTGTTTAAATTTTTTTATATTTACTTTTTTAAGTTAATGACTTGAGTTTGATTAAATTTAATGACATTAAATAAATAACACTAAGAATCAATGAAATGTCATTGGTTTTAATTTTTGTTTAAATTCACTAAATTTTAATTATGATTTTGATTATATTCACTGAATTTTAAAGACCTTAAATTTTGTGGGGGAGAATGAACATTTTTAGTCTACTCATGTCAGTCTTAATAATTAAGGCTGGCTCACATTATGACGGATTCTGCAGCAGCAAGCAGTAATTGCTGTCATGACATCATTTTATGACTGAAAAGTAGCAAACTGACTAACTGATTAACAAACTGAGTCCAGTGCAACTTTTACAATGGCAAGTGGAAAGTTGGACATTTGTCCAATGACAAAATTATTTGAATGACATAAGTTGTTTCTCAACATGGCAAGTTTCCAACCCAATGTTCAATCATACTGTGTGATATAAGCATTGAAATGATGAGAGGACAGAAATCTTGATCACCTCTTGTGGTCTTTGATATATGATTATTTAAATTATGATTATGTCGAAATATGATTATTTAATTATATTTCAGCAATTTGGTTATCATGATATTCTAATTTATCTCTTTCCAAAATATAACTTTCTTTCAAATTCTCTTGTTAGACTTATCATTATTCCTAAATTTTGATAAAACATTATTTAAAATTAAATACAATTTACCATGATTATTGTTATGCTAGCATCCAATTTTTATTTAAGCAAAATGTTGAATAAGGTTGTAGCTTATTCAACATTTACAGTCAGTATATGCTTGTGAAGGTCAAAGTTACACAAGGTACAATGTGAACAGGTCTTTTTGATGCCATGGAATTTTCCACCATAATGTGAACCAACCTTTACAAATTTCAAATTATTGAAATAAATTGAACATTAGCAAAATGTCTCTTAAAAGGAATAAATAAATCTCTGAAGTTTGTTGAATTTTTACTTATTTTTTAATATTTTATTCTAGTTTATATTTTCTGTTTTAATGTAAATAGTGTAAATTTACATGTATTATAGACACTTTTTTCCTGAAATTTGTAATTTTATTACCAATGTAAATTGTAATTGATGAGAGCACATATTCCTTTTTTCAATTTTGTTGATGTTTATTGTATGAATAATTAATAAAAAGATTATAAATAATTGAATTTAATCATGTTTTATTTTATTTAAACTTTTTAGTGTGCAATGCCATTTTGTAAATTTAAATGTAGTGATGAGGTAAATATATATTAATTATATAATCAAATGTGCTTTACAAATTAACCTAATAACAGTTTTTTTATACTTATATATATATATGTATTTGTATATTAATATTTAGAGACTGGATTGCTATCTCCTTGATAATAATGGTTTTGTTGTAGTTTCGGAAATTCATGAGCACGTAAGTTTTAAAATAAATCTATATAATAAATATGTAAATGACATCTATTTTAATATCCATTTTTTATCAAAAGTTAACATAATATTCTGTCAATAATTCATAGCTGTTTATAATTCCAGTGCAAATTTACATTGGTAAAAATAAAGTTTATTGTCATATAATTTGCACAAGTTCATATCATTGTTTAATTGTTTTGTTGATACATCTGTAATAAATGATAGTTTTATATTTTAATAATTATTAAAAAGAAGTATTCTCAAATCTAGGAGAGATGTTAAACAATTCAATTTAAAATGACCTAATTCTTCTCTTTCAGACAGTTTTAAATTAAATTAAATTTATTATAATTATTAAATCTAGTATGAGATGGCAGCATAACTGCCTACCTCTAGACAAATTATTTAGTATTTAATTAATTACATAGCTATATTATAGCTCAATAATTCAGCACTCATTTGACTTTACATACATTGAAGATTTAAAATCCAGAATAATAAAATAGTTAGTCTCTTTTTATAACTTTTACTTTATAATAATCTACAATTACAATGGATGAAACTAGTATATTAAAAAAAATTATTTTTAAGTCCAAACAATTGGTCACATTTTCTCATAGCATAATATAGCAATTAAATGTTAAATGTCATATTGCAATCCAAGAACCTTTTAATCCAGCAGAGTGAATGATCAAATAGAAGTAAATGATCTCTTGTCATCATTTTTGTCTTTTCATTGATCTTTGTCTTTTTTGTCATCAGATACATAAATGACAAATGACATCATGTCAAGATTTCTTGACTGATGTCATGATGTCAAAACATAAAAGATGTTTTGTTAGGTCAAGAAATCTTGATGTTTCAAAAGAAGAAATCTAGTTTTGAGGTTTCAAAAGAATTGCCATAATTTATAATCAGAGACCTATAATCTACCATCAGGGAAGTTATAAAGTTTTATATCATTCTAATATCAAATTTATTATAAAATTAATGTGAAATACAATATACTACTGATTATCCAAGCTAATCACCTTTTTTGACTTTAAATGTTGTTGACTTCTTGTGTGTCCATAAATTTTGTATTATTATTAAATTGTAATTAAATTGCTCCTTTATAACTTCCTGGATCTGTTATTAGAAGAAACTTTTTCCATATTAACAGTGAAAAGGATGAGTTTTTTTTCATATTATTTTTGGCATTTCCTTATGGTCAGATTGTATTAATTGTTCATGATTAACTAAGCAAAAACATTTTAAGCTAAGCTTAAAACAAAGATCAGCTTGGATATATTTATTTTTGGCTCAATATACATGTAAACAACACTATATTTCATATACAAATAGAAGTGAGTGATCTCTTGTCATCTTTGGATTTTTTGTCATCAGACACATAAACAACAAAAGACATCATGTCAAGATTCATTATTGGTCTTCTGAAAAGAAAGAGTGAAGAAAGAACAAGGAACAATAATTCTTGTTTCATAAAAAAAAATATTTGATCTTTTGCTTTTCATTCATGTGTATGCTCATGTAATTATTAAATTTGGCTATTACTGTACAATTATTATATACAGATTAATCACAAAAATCTTTATTAATTGCTATAAATCATGGTATGAATTTCAGCTTTTAAAAAGGTCCTCCTCAGCAAGTCTGTGATTTTTCCCTCAACTTAATGTCAAAGATGAATGACAGAATAAATATTAAAATAATAGCAAGAAGACATGGACATCCAGTTAAACCAATGAACTGCTTTGTTCAGATTTTTATTGCAAAGGAGCCAGGCTTCAAAGTATTAAACAAAACAAGGTAACCACAAACATCACATATTATCTTACACTTAATTTGTTATATAGAAAGGCAGCTAGGTGATGAAATAAACTTCTTTCCTGAAGAAATTCAATGATTATAAACTCGTATGTAATGAATAAGATATACAGTACCAACTTTGAATGCCCAGGATATATAGTATTCTGTTACATTGTGAAATGTTTCAAGTAAGGCAGCTTCTTATTCTTTCTTGCACTTTTAAAAGTGCATGAAGCAGATATAAGAAAAGCAGTTCACTCTGTAGACCTAGCTGCATACACAATTGACCCTAAAATAGAGGTGCTTTTTAATGAAGTGGAATTAATCCAACCAATAAGGCAAAAAGAGGAATTGAAATCATTAGAATAGCTTGAAATTTATCTATTGGAGAGAAAAATGAATTGTATCAATATCAAAGACCATGAGGATATTGTTATCTTTTAGAAAGCTTAATTGTGCTATAGTAGACAATGGGAGAACTGGATAAGTTAAGCATTCTGTTTATATGCACCACCCTCAAGAATTACCAACCTGCTTTTCATCTGTTTATTTTATTTTATATGTATGCCAATTCTAAAAGAGGTTTTCTGTATCATTTGGAACCATAAAGCCTAAAGTCATTATAGCAGAATAAGCAGATTTGAAAATTTCTGTGATTAAAAAATGGTTCCTACAACAAAATAATCAGGATTTAAACATTGTAACATAACAGTCTAAATTTGAATATTATTCTGTGATTTTTGTTCTCATAAACATCAGGAAACTCAGTAAATTTGTAAAGCCAAACACACCTTATATAGCTCCAGCAAGCAGAATTAGTACAACAAATGTTTTCAGTTTATTTTATAAACCTGCTTCAGGTTTGAAATTTTACAAATTTGAATTTCAACATGGAATGTTTTAAATTTTCCATGAAGTTAATTATAAATTCTTTTTTTTTTTTTTCATTTTTAAACATTGTAATTGTGTATACATTAATATGTATATAAATAGTAAAATTAAAAATGCAATAAAAATTACAAATAAAAGGAGTCCACAATGAACCTTATACATTTGAAACTGTTGTAAAAAATCTACCGCTCAGGAAGGATGTAAAGTAATGCAGATTTTGTGATGAAAAACTCAAAAAGTTTTATTAAAAAAAATCAGTGAACCTCTACGTGAGCTCCTTTTGTTGTACATAGAACATCGAGTCTATACGCCATTTCCTGCTAGAATTCTTTCAAGCATCTCGGGCATGACAGCAGCCACAGCATCATGAATGCGCATATGAAGATATTGAAGGTCATGAATTCTGACACTGGTGTAAACCTTGTCCTTGACAAATCCCCAAAAAAATCTAAGGGCTTAATATCCGGCGATCGAGGAGGCCACAGTATCGGTCCTCCGCACCCAATCCAACAATCAGGAAACTCTGTGTCGAGGAAACATTGAACATGCAGGCTCCAATATGGAGGGACACCATCCTGCTGGAATCACAGAATTTGTTTCAGCATCCACCACATACCTTGTGCCTGCTCTTGTGGAGAAGCCATTTTGCGTTTGACTACTGCCACGCCACCTACAGTCACTTTGGCAGGTTTTCAAAATTACCTATACAACTTCCAGTTTCTCCGCCTAATGGAATGCATGACATCTGATTACTGCCTTGCACTTCGATATGACAGTCGAAACAAATGTGTCAGGTTCATGGTGGACACCCTGTACAATGAACCATAGGAATTACTTATGTCTACATCTTATTTACATATAATTGATTAGTAGGATTATTGCACCTCTTACATAACAAATCCAAACCATATGTTCTTAAACATCTGGAACAAGTGGAAATTTACAAGACCACCTGCCATAACTCAACCATAACTATTGCAATGTTGATTCTTTCACCACTGCCTGGAAATCTTTCTATGAAATATAAACTCCCTTTCCCCCTCCTTTCTTCTTATGTCATACTCCCCTTCCCCCTATATGTGTTCAGTGATTTCTAGTGTTTTTTTTTTCAATAGTTTGTTGCCTTTTTAACATGGATGAAAACATTTGCACTTTGTTTATAATTTTGTCACTGGTTTGTTAGGTTATTGTAGTGTTTATTATTATAAAAGAATGATCACCAAACATTAGATAGGAATTCTGAGTCTTTATGGTTAATACAACTATTTTTCAATATGGTCTTGAATATTTCCAATATTTCCAGTGTTCTTAGGTGATGTTGAATGTAAAAACTGTTTTTATCATTCTTTGCTTCATTTAGATTTGCAGACACCCTGGACTCTGTGGCATATTGAGCTAAAATGGTTATAGGTTTGTTGTTATCTATGTTGTGTTTGTGACTATAGGGTCGGTGTTTCTTTGACACCACATCAGGATGTGACCGCCGAGTCTCTCAGGACTTGGAAATCATAACAGATATTTCTTACATATGCGAGCGGTCGCAATTAAGCAGTTGGATTCGGAGTAGAGGTGAGGAGAGAGACGAAGAAGTGATTCACTCTAAATATTGGTTAACTAACAATAATGATTTTAATACTAACAAAAGAACCTACAGGTATATAAGAGTACCAAGCCTGACTACAGGTTCTAATGAACATTACTAGACCATTTGAGAGAGAGAGTTTACAAATGATTCACGTGTTGATAAATACCTTGTTAGGAGTCTTGGGGTAGATCTAAGGACTTGGATCTAAGGACTAATCCAACCACAGCATCTTGGAGAGAATAGTTCACAAATGAGTAAGATAGTCCACAAAGAATATCCAACAGATTATCCAAATGGGCGTAACACTTGAGATTTGGTTCGAAAGTGGCAGAGATATGTATTGAGTTCTTCTCGGGAGTCGGACAACTAGATGATGACTGCCTGGATTTGTCATCACTCTCCCTGGTTATTTGGGTTTCTTCTGTGTTTTTTCCATGAAGTCAGGAGTCTGTTGTTAAGGGCCTGGCATCCAATACTGGAAATTTATCAAAAGTTCCAGGTGAAACATTAATGACTAGATGGACCATCCTCAACAAGGAAACAAGTCTGTGGGAAATAATTTTTATGGATTTTAACCTAAATCAAATGATTGAATTTTAAAATAACACTTTATTGAGGGTCCCTTTGTCACTCACATGTTCATTGATTCTGCATTTTAAAGATCTAATTGTTGAACCAATCTATGTAAGTTGGTGATTATATCTTGCATACACCCATTA